CCATATCACGTGGTGTCCATGTCAGGCCAGTAGACTCATTCGCCATTGTGATGTTGGACAGCATATCGAGCCCCATCTCATGAATTCTCAACCGACTCGAGAGTCGGTTGAAATACCAAGGAGCATTAGACTTCAAGACGTGATTTCCATTTCAGAGCTGGCATCAATGTGACGCAAAATCCCACCTTGTTCGAGAAGAGAAATGTACTCAGCTTGGAAACCGTCAGTCCGCTCTATGGAACAAAGTCTGAAGTACTTACTCGCAATTGGCCAACGTTCGGATAGTCTTTTAAGACCATCGACGATAGTCACCAAAGCATCTTTCATCTGAGGCTCATTGTCTTCCCGAATAAACCATGAGCATGCACTACAAGCGGTATAAAAACATCTTGCTTGGAGAGGACAATCTGACTGAATCTGAGCCAGCTTAGGGGTCAAACTACTACCTAGTGCTCTCAGGCCTTGAACGCTAATACTTTGCAATTCTGTTTCGTGTGTCAAGCGTTCTCGACTTGTTATTCCAGGCGCGTCAGGACAACCATAAGCTCCGTATAGGAGCGCTTGAGCACTAATGCAAATGGCGGAAGCACATGCCAGAGAGGATGCTGAAGAAGAAGAAACGTTGCTCAAGGATTGTTCTTCAATAGAAATTTGTAGTGAGTGTAGTGCTCTATTAAGGCTCTGGGCTTCCTGGACAACATGTAGGATATCGTGCGAAGATCTGGTTTTCAAATGTTTGTGTGTAATGACCTTGCCGAGCATATGAGCTGCTTGGCATGTCCTAGCAAAGGAGCCCAGGGTTGTGATAGAGCTGAAGCATGCTGTATACAGTGGCTCGCTTGGTACTGTCTTACCCAAAACCCAGTCTTCGTCGTTGACTGGCAGAAGCTCGTCAGGGCAAGGTTCCGGAGCTGAAAATGGTAGCCCACTTGTGTCCATGCTGATGAATCTGAACATAGTTTCATTAGATGGGAGGCTCAAGGATGCGGATTTATGACTTACCTGTCAAGTACAAAGATAGTCCACCATGTCCGGCGCTGTTCTTCTCGTTTAGACCAGGAATCAGCAAACTTGAAGAGCTGCTGTGCATCTCTATCATGCCAACTCATTAGTATGCCCAGTCTCGCCGCTCGACTGATTGTGAGGTAGCAGGCAGGATATATAGCCTGGCACGCTTCATAAAGAGCCAATAGCACCAAGGACTGAGTTAGGCGAAGTGAAACTAGGCCTGCACTTTCAGCGGCGGCACATAGAGCTTTTGCCAACATGTACAACGGGTGCTGAGATGGAGGGTGGCCATTGGGTCTGAGCGTGCATATTTTCATGCATAAAAGTAGTAGATCATGGCAAGCATCTTGACTGAAAGGATCGGGATGTGTGATCCGCTTTCTGCTAATCATGGGAAGCCACTCATGCACTGAAGCAAAGTAATTGTGATAGAGGACTGGCAAGTCATCTGGTTCCAAGTGCTTGGCTATAATCTGCTGCAGATCGACTCTTGGCCCAGGTGCTAATGCATTGCTGGTGGTTAGTGGTGTGAAGAGATCCGGATCCAAGAAGAAGGCCAAGGGAAACGGCTGATTGGGCTCCGATAGAGACGGCTGGCTTGTTCCATCTGGCGGAGGAGCAGTTGGAGGTGGAGGAAGTTCTATATATTCACATTTCTTGCCAAGGCGCCGACACTGTAAGCCGTCAGTTTTAGGCTATATCTGCCCCGGTTCTGAGCCGTACTAAGGAGCAAGATGGCAGCTCTCTCATGCATTTTCTCTTGAGGCGGCTGAACAAGTCAGAGCAGCTTCAATTGATGTGAGGGCTTAAACTTGCCGACATGTTGCACATGAATGACGAGCCACCGGCATCTCGATCTGCGTAACGTTGACAACCTCGTCGACCTGCAGTGATTGTAAAGCAGCTTATAAATCAATCGGGGCCTCTTGGGTTGCAGTGTGAGTGTGAGCGTGGGGGCGAGATACTGTGAGAACAGGCTGAAGAGATCGATTGAATGCAGGAAGAGAAGAGAGAAGCTGAAAAGCTGAGAGCTGAGAACGGACGTGAGCGGGTAATAGGGAGGCAGGAGTGAGACAGAGGCGGATCAGGAGCGGACTTTAGTGGAACCGTTCCTGTATAAGACACCAACCAACCAATACCAAGCCAACAGCGAGACAGGCCTGAAAAGGAGGATAACGTGATGAGACTTACTGAGAATGGGACGATTAATAATGAGTGAACGCCTATATCCTCTCGGGAATATATAATGGGTAGAGATGTAATGGACTATTGCCATCTCAAGCAACACACACACTCTCTCTCTACCTACGCTCAATATGACCATCAAAAAGCTCATAGTCATCATCGGTGCAACAGGCGGCCAAGGAGGCTCAGTCGTCAACTCTTTTCTCAACGATCCAGAATGGCGTGTTCGTGGTATCACCCGAAACCCTTCAAGCCAAAAATCAAAGAACCTCGAGGCCCGCGGTGCCCAAGTAGTCCAAGCCAATTTGGACGACAGGGCCTCACTAGCCAAAGCCTTCCAAGACGCAAATGTCATCTTTGCAGTCAGCGACTTTTGGGGCATCTACAACGATCCAAAGAATCGAAATAAACCAAGGCAGGGACAAGCTCTCAACGAGTGGACAAAGGGACAAGAAACCCAACAACTCAAGAACATCATCGATGAAGCTGCCAGAGTATCAAGTCTAGAACGTTTCATCATGTCTTCACTTCCGGGCCCGACGAAATTATCGAGAGGAAAGTACACAAATGTCTGTCATCACGACTCCAAGGCAGATGCAGAAGAGTATGGTGAACAAAACCAGCCAGAGCTCTGGGCTAAGACGAGTGTATATCTCCCTGGATACTTTCTCAGCAACTTCTTGACTCATCCAATGGCTCAGCCAACCAAGGTTTGATTTCAACAGCTGCCCAAATCCAATGATATTCAAACTGACGTTGTAGCAGAAACAGAACGGAAACATACAATTCGCAAACAACATAAATCTAGATACCAAAGTTCCTCTGATATCACACGACCAAGATTCTGGTCCGTTCGTCAGAGCCCTAATTCAAAACCTTCCAGGGAAAAGCGTGGTCGGATATCGTGCTTGGATCACACTACGGGAATTCGTACAAATTTTTAGTAAAGTCACGGGGTACAAAACTGAATTATTACACATACCACCCGGAGAATTCAGCTTCAAATGTAAACAAGAGTTGAGGGCTGAATTGCAAGACAACTTTGCATTCGCTAACGAAATCGGGCTTCATGGCGGCGATGATTCTCCTGCTGTTCATCCCAACGAAGTAAGCTTCCCTTAATATTTGTAACAAGATAATGATGGAAGCTGATCTGTATACAGCTAAACCCGCCTCCTCAACTTGGAAACGTTGAAGATTGGATCAGAGAACAAGACTGGTCTAAGGTTTGGGGATCTTGAGATATGGCCTGGGAGGAGTGAGAATCTGGCTAGATGTACCATAGCTGAGGCTACCTACTTACTCATGCCAGTGGTCAAGGGTGAATTGATAGGGGTTAGATAGGTACTATAACAAACTATTTTTAGTGGCAAATCTTGACAAGTAGTTCAAACTAGTTATCGGAAGCTACCTAGTAGGTACCTAAATAGCTTAAATGGTTATCGTGACTCTGCTCTGAATAGAATTGATAGCAGCTGTTGAATCTACCAATAGCGGCTACAGGTGGGGAACACAGCCCAAGCCAACCACTGCAAAACCCCTCAGCTCAGCTCAGCTCAGTCAATTCAACAAATCACATACTGACCGTGTCCAGGGTTAGCGTTACGTTAGTTACCCATTGATAACATCCTTTGACCGCCAAGGCATGAGCACATCTCGAAACAATCGAACCATAATCAACGTCCTCGCCAAGAAATTCGCTCTACAAAGACCAAGAATGGAGCCCCCTCAGAAGCAAAAGCTTGTGGTCGTTGCCTCAAACAACATCCCCAAAATCAAAGCAACCCGCGATGGCTTCACACGAATGCTTCCAGACGCTTATGACTTTCAAGGCATAAGCGTAGACTCCAGCGTCCCAGATCAGCCCTTCTCAGATGAGGAGACTCTGCGAGGTGCGACAAATCGAGCTCAGAACGCTCAAGCAGCCAGATCAGAAGCTGATTTCTGGGTTGGCATCGAAGGCGGTGTTGAAACTCAAAACGGCTCCATCTGCTCTTTTGCTTGGATTGTGGTCATTGGAAAAGATGGCAAGGTCGGCAAGGCACGGACTTCGGCGTATTTTCTACCAGAGAAGACCTGTCAATTGCTGAAGGAGGGTGTTGAGTTGGGACACGCGGATGACATGGTATTTGGACAGACGGATTCAAAGAACAAGCAGGGCTCGGTTGGGCTATTGACAGGCGGTGTTGTTGATCGCGCTGCGTATTATACACAGGCCGTCATTTTGGCCCTGATACCGTTCAGGAATGCTTCTTTGGACTTTTGATAGCTTCAATTTCATATTGAGCAATTTTACAATTTTATAATGTCGTATACGGCAGACGCTACATTTCACTTCTGGAGTTCAGTCAAGAAGGGATTCACATTCTGGCAGAGGAAAACATTTTATTAGCCTGCCCATAAGGAGTGTAAATGTATATATAAATGATTAAAGGATTAGATGTGCGTAATGCGTGTACTTTTCCACCCCTTCCATGCTATCTCTCCATTCTGTTATTACCCTTCGTTCCATCTCTTGACAAATTCTGTAAATGCACAGACAGTAATATATGTACAGCCATGACGCCACGCTGTATTGGGACAAATAACAAAACCCCAATCACTGATATATCCAGGAGTGGCTAATATGAACTAAAATATATACCCAAGAATTGGGGTAAGGGCGGCCGTTACAGGTCGACTTATATCGCTGGGTTGGCTGGTAGTCTAAGAAACAATCTCGAGCAGAGGTAGAAGCATGACATATGCTGGGCGTATATGAGTAGGTAGTGCGTCTAAAGGTAGGTGAATAGGCAGTGAGGAATGGCTTAGCGGTCCGTCGCCTCGTTCCAGTCACCCATCTCGGGCATGCCATAGGGATTCCACTCTTGGCCAGGATAACTAGTCGCACTCATCTGAGGAGGAACCTCTCCATCTGAGTCAGCATTGGGGTCGTAGTGAATCTTCTCTTCTTGCGAATCAATTCGCAATGTGCGCTTCCGGGCATCCTCAGTATCCTCAAGCTCAGCGTGGAACGATGGGCCTCCCCTGCTCTTTGGCTCAGGAGGGCCGAGATCACTACCGCCCGATGGAGATTGCCTCGTAGAGTTGGGGCTGACACTGCCCGGCGCACCAGATGGGGGACTGAGCGACACGCCCTGGGACTCCTCTGCTTCGGGTGAGAATTGTGAACTGGTACCTGGCGCAGCATGGCCTCCCATGAAATCGCCACCAGCAAGCACAGGCATGGGAAGACTAGGAGCTCGGGACTTTGAGCTACCGTTCTGCTCTGTGCCTACTCTTGGAGAAACGTGTTGCGTTGATGGAGGGTTTCCACCGACTCTAGGGCTTCCGCTGGTTCTGCTACTATGAGGACTGTCGCTGTTAAACCTCTGCATATTGGAGGTTCCCTGACGAGTTGCATTAGGATCATTTCGAGGAGCAGCATCTGAGTGCTCACGCTCTCCTTCCTGAGCGTGGTCGTGTTCAGGGTTGGCAGCAACCATAGCTTGCAGATTCAACAGTGAAGGACGAGGCGACGGGGCGTGAACTGGTGTAGGAGAGTGAACCTGAGTAGGCGTTGAAACATGGACAGGGGGCGATTCCTCCCCATGAACATTTTGTCCTGTCGCGAACCCATACTGCGGGCTTTGGGGTTGCGATGAGAACTGAGACTGCTGAGGACTTCTATATGACGAGGGCGTATTTGGGCTTTGACCAACAGTCCCGCCGTGCCATTGGCCAGGATAAGAAGCCTGTCTTTGTTGAGATGGTGGGAATTGTCCAGCGGGGGACGGCATCTGAGGCTGCCATTGACCCGGGGGCTGTGGGGGGGATGGGAATTGTCCCTGTTGCTGCGCGGGAGACTGGAACCGACCTTGCTGCTGTATGGGGGACGTGAATTGGCCTTGTTGCATGGGTGGAGGCACGAACTGGCCTTGCGGTTGAGGAGGTGATTGGAAGTGATCCTGCTGTTGGACAGGAGACTGGAATTGACCGTGGGGCTGCGGCGGGGAATGGTATTGAGCCTGTGGCGACTGTGTCGGCGGGAATTGGCCCTGCATCTGAGGAGACTGATACGGGTGACCAGGCTGTGGCTGGCTCATTCCTTGGGGACCTGAAGCGAACGCCCCCGAAGGGCTTCGGAACTCTTGCTGTGGCATAATTGGGCTGGTAAACATTGATGAGTAACGCTTGGTCTGCGCTTGTCCCATGCTCTGGTTGCTGAACTGAGATGACGGGCGAGCAGTTGGCACTTGTCCGAAAGGTTGGCCGCTGACCTGCGAGGATGGTCGAGGAGACTGGGTCTGTCCATGCGGAACTTGACCAGCAAATTGCTGCTGGGGCTGCTGGGGACGCGGAGCTTGCTGAGCTTGCTGAGGCTGCTGTTGTCGCTGCACAGGCCGCATCTCATGGTTCTGATAAGCCTGCAGATCGGGAATGACCATTGACTGCCGATTCTCCTTGGAACCTCGTTTAAATGCCCCAAGGATCTTGCTTGCAGTCAGCTTGTCGTTCTCGCCCTTTCCTTGACTCGCTGCTGGCTTGTTTGAGACCTGTGCCGACATGCGATTCCTCAAACCCTTCCACTTCGAAGCTCCCGGACTTGCTTGGCGAGCTGGTTGATTGGCAATCTGGGGTTGCTGGAAAGCACCCGAGCCGTCCTTTGGGGGGACTGGAGGGCCTGAACCAGAGTGCTGCATCTGCATAGGTGGACGGCCAGGAGAAGTGGCTTGTGGGTGTGAGCCTGGCAAAGGCTGACCGGCAGATGGCTGGCGGAGATTGGGCTCGTACTGTTGACCTGGAGCAATCTGGTAGCCACCATGCTGAGGGTTCACCTGAGGGTGTGCCTGTTGCTGAGCATTCACAGGCTGTTGCTGGAATCCAGAAGGAAACTGCTGTTGTTGCTGTGGCGGTGAGACTCCCATCCTGTTGGCAAAGGTCTGATGTTGTGGAGAAGTAGACACTGCAGATACAAGAGGCGTGTTAGGCTGTGAAAGCTGGGAGGACTGTCGTCTCCCAGCAGCCAAAGTAGTGGTATTCAGACGAGGACTCTGAGTAGCCATCGAAGACACAGACGGCGGGCCAGTCTTGGACATTTGCGACACTGGAGATAAGGGCATGTCATTATCTGATGCACCATGGCTAGCCCTATTCTCATGTCTGAAGGACATGTTTGGAGAGTCTGTGACTGGTCGTTGGATCCGAGTTCCCTCCTGCTTTGCATGCGCGAGCTTGTCAAGCGATTGCGAAGATTGTGACGCATGGTGGAATGACGGCTGAGTGGTTGGAGCCGTGCTTGGAACGTTGAAGGAGGTCTGGGTTGTTGGGGCACTCCGGATTGCGGACGCAGCTGGTGAGATCGATCGCATTCTTCCAGCTCGCGCGTCCGGGAAGCCCTGTCCCACGCTGAAAGGTGTCTGTGGAGTCCCATGGCGGCTGGAATCAGTCACAGATCCGATAGGAGGGGTTCCTGCCGGTGTGGTAGAGCCAAAGCCCAGAGGTGATGGACGTGAGTTGCGGTAAGCAGCTTGAGCGTGCTGGTTATCTCTTATCCCACTAGATAGAGGTCGGGCAGATGACATCGGGGATTGCTCCCTAGATATCGACTGCCGGTCACCAAATTGATGAGGTCTCTGAGGTTGGGGACTAGCCAATGGCGGTGCAGTGCCTTGGGGGCTCCCAAGCTGCCCCCCTGGAAGTACAGGGCTGGTCAGTTGGGGCCCCGAAGGTCTTCGCCCTTGTGTCTGCAGGGACGGCGGGTGAGGGGTACCAAGCTGGGAACCAGAAGCGCGGCGATCATAAGGCTGTTGTATCTGGGATGACATAGCCTGCTGGGACTCTTTGCTCTTGTGGACGTGTCCCAAAAGGCCGGAGATCAGTCCAGCAGCCGAGCCTCGTCTCTTGCGGCGCTCATTAGCATCAACAGGCGGCGTACCTGTTGGAGTCGGAAGGATCTGGTTGAAGGTAGGGCCAGCAGTGCTACTTCGCTCAAAGTCTGGATGAGCAGGGCGCTCCAGGGAAACTGGTTGCTGAGCTCCTAGGTGACTTGAGATCGGCCTTGAGGAGGTGGGTGTACCAGGCTTCGATGATGTACCACTGCTTGGCCGATTGAAGACATTCGTCATAGCAGCCTTGGTATTGAATGCCGAGAATCGCTTCCTTGCCGGAGGAGTAGCAGATTGGCTCATCTCGTTGGCCAAGTTCGAAGTAGCTGCGCGTGGAGGACCTGCAGGGCGATACTGACCTGAAGCAGGATCGAAGTCAGGGTTGAGCCGAGATCCCCTTCTCTCTTCCGTCGATGTGGCGGGCCTGTTGTCATCCGGGCGTGGAGGGGTAGGCATTGAAAGCCGTTCTCGGCTCTGCTTACTCCTCAGGCCTAACATGAAACTGGCTCTCGACTTCTTCTTGTCATGTGTTCCGTCTGTCGTCACACTTGAGACGGAAGCCGCATCATGATGGACGTCAGCGTGCGGTAGGTGGAGTTGCTGCTGTTGTTGCGGAGGATGGAACTGCTGACCGTGGTGATCCACAGGCGTGCTTCGTCGCTCAGTCGAGCTCTTCCTGAACCGATGTCCAATGTCCTTCAACAATGCTGAGGCCATTTTAGAACGTCCCCTGTCTTCGTTAGTAGTGTCGCTCGTCCCAGTCCTGGTGATGCCCTCCTGGGAAAAGCGTCTGATGAACTGAGATCCAGGGCCAGGGTGAACATCTTTAGAACCGCTCGACTGTCGTTGATGACCAGGGAAGAGGCCAGGGTAACGATTGGCCGATGAAGGTGGCACTTCAGAAGGCTTTTGCCGTTGATGATGCCTATTAGCCGTAGAGCTCGAAGATGGAGAAGGGGGAACATCTCCAGTTTCTTTGTTATAGCCGTAGAAAGGGTCATGTTGGGACTGCTGTGAACGCTGTGAACGCTGCGAGACCTGTGAAACCTGTGAGGCATTCGTACCCGCTCGGTTTCTGTTAACCATATGAAGGGGTTCAGCCAAGTGACTTTCTTCCAACTTCCATTGGCCCGATGGTGGGACTGCCTGAGGCTTAGGAGTAACGCGGTGAAGAGGTTCAGACAAGTGGCTTTCCTCCAATTTCCAGGGACCAGACGGAGGAAGCCTTTGAACGGGGTTACCTCCCATGAGCTGAGGTGGAAGCAAGGGTAGCATCGGAGGCTGATATCCTTGAGTTTGCGTTGGCATAGGCCCGGGTTGGACTGGGTGCATCTGGAATGGATGCTGTGGTCCCCTGGGAGGCGATTGCTGCAGCGAGTGGCGTGGGGATTGTTGCGGAGGGGGTGATTGAGGTTCTGATCCATCCGCATCTTTCTTGAACTTCTCTTCCATGATAGAATCTGTCCCAACTAATGTAGACCCGACCGTAACCTCGGATGTCAGTGTTCCCTGCTGACGAGCAATCTCATCGAAGTCTTCCGGCTCAGCAGAAACATGCTCAGCGATAGGCTGTGTGGTCCTTTGTTCAGTTGCCGTCGATCTCGAGTTTACGTCAAAAGTCGACCCTCTTCTGATGGGAGGTAGTCCAACGAAAGAGGAATGACGCTGAACCATAGCCGAGGGATCGTGTGGCTGAGTCGGAGTTTGAGACTGAGGTACATTTGTTATGGGGGCCTGGATAACAGATGAATAAACAGACGTCGATTGAGGTGATGGGCCAGCAGGGTCCCCTGGAGGCACCATACGAATACCGCCGCTGGCAGGCGTAGGAGTAGCCCCGCCAGACATTGGGTTACTAGATGGCATTTGGGTGCTGGAAACATCCTGAGGATGACCTGGGTTTGCAGCCATAGCTCCTGATTGCCCAGAAGCTTTACCCTTGGCAAGGTCTGTTCCCTTGAAAGGATCCCAAGTAGACTCATCGATGGGAGTTGGAATGTACCATTGCGATCTATCATCATTTTCTTTACTGGCGGGAGCGGAAATAGAAGCAGAGGTAGAAGCAGGAGCAGATGGATCTTGTGAGAGCTGAGGCCCGTAGCTCTCGCGTGAAGCAAGTCTCTTACCTGATTCGCCAGTCGATGGCACAGAGCCAAACTGTAGCATGCTAGAAGATTGGGAGGACTGGGGAGCATGATACGACTGGGTCGAAGGCCTCGAGATCACGACGTCTTTCTCGGAGGAGTCATCAGCGCGGGATCTTGTGAGACGATCTAAACCCCACGATGCGCGTCTTTCAGCTTTGAACTTTGTTTGCACCGGAGATGTTGGTTCGCCCTGTCAACCAAAGAAACATTAATAAACACTCTTGTCACATAGCCTGATGGATGGGCAACATCATGATGGATGACAATGCGGGAGGAGAAAAGGGAACAAGCGTCGTAGAATTCCTATCTCATACACCCGTCTCATCATAAGGTAAGGTCAAGAGTGATCATCAGCCCCGAAGTGCATGACGAAAGGAGATTTAATCCAACAATAACCCTGCTCCGAGGGAGAAAAAAAGAGGAAGAAGCCCATCACAACAGGTTCTAAAAAGAGAAGCGTCAGTGAAATACCTTGTCCCCAGTTCCACGCAATTTGCTCTTTCCCTTGCTAAACAATCCCTTGCCCATCTTTCCAGCAGACTGCATGAGTTCCTTGCCCTTGGTTCCAATCTGGTTGCTCGAGTTGCCGAAGCCGCTGGTGCCGGATGGCACGGATCCGCCGAGTCGAGATCGCCCTGGTGGTGGCCCTGTCGTAGGCGAGCTTGCATTAAGATACTGCTGGTAATACGGCTGTTGATTGTGAGAAAGGCTGGGACCTGATGCGTGTCCCTTTTGACTTGTGGGCACCCCGGCTCCGGAGAAGGAGGAAGTTGCGTTCGCGTATTCGGGATGCTCGGTCATCAGATTAGACAGCCAGTTCTCCAGACCTGACTCCCACGCTTGGTGTGTAGCTAAACCCGCTTCAAACTTGAGAGTTCTTTGAACGGGTGTTGCTAGGCTCATAATATCGCGCCATGGAGTAGTCTGAGGGAACTGACTGGGAGGAAGAGCTTTGGTTGACTTATCTGGGGGTGGCGATGCTGACGTAAGATTTGAAGGTACCTGAGTCAATGATTTATTCTCTGCAACAGATGGACGACGATTGTCAACGGCTCGAGGAGTAGCATCATCATTCTCGATAGAGACGGGAGAAGGAGGCTCCAAAGTAGCTGGCTGCTGGCTTGGCGGTAGCGTGCTGGCTTTGGAAACTTGATGAGAAATGCCACCAGAAGGTGGGATGATGATTCTGGGAGTCTCGACATTTTGAGGTGACTCTTTAGTTTGGCTGGCAACATCTAAAGCCTCGTCCTTCGGAGGTGGAACTCCCACTGGTGCTAGAGGTGAAGGAGAAGCTGGGCGAGGAGCTTCGTTGTTGAAAGTAACAGAGGGCGGCTCGACAGGGAGAATCTTTGGCGGGGAATCGAAACCAGCCTCCCAAGAGAATCTACGCCGTGAATCAGACTTTGGTGACTCTGGTTGAGCGGTAGGTTGGGATTCAGCAGACACCACGACGCTAGAAAGTGGTTGGACGATTGGTTGCTGTTGCTGTTGCTGTTGCTGCTCATGAACTGGAGAGGTCTCAGTCTTGGGCTTCTCTTGGACCTCTGCTCCAATCTTTGAATCTTGCCCGGGTTTCTCGTTTGAATCGGCCCAATAGCTATCATAATCGCTAAGGGTATAACTGCTATTACGAGTGACACCTCGGTCGCCTGGTGCCAAAGACTGAGAATTATTAGGCAAAGGTCGAGACACTGTAGAGCTTGGTGTTGGAGCAATGGGGCTAAGGGACCTCATGATTTCCTCACTCAAGACGTCGCTTTCCTTAACAGGCGACGAATTGAATGTGTTCAAGGATCCTTGTGTCAAAGCAGAATTTGGCTCGTAGTTCGATGGAGAGTAATCCAGTTGTTGAGGGTGCAGAGGCTCTGTGGGCGTAATCTTGGAGTCGGTGGCTGATGCAGGCTCTCTAGGTGATGGGAAGAGTCCCTTTGAGTTTGGGCTCGGTGTACGCAGAGGTGGAACAGCTCGAGGGTCATTCGCAGGGGCAAGAGAGGTACTGCTGTTAGGTCCAGGAGTGCTAGTATTGTCTTCACTCTCTCTGGGCTTCTCTTCCAAAGTTGCGAGATTTCCGGGGCTATCAGTAGCTTGACTGGGAACTGAAGGTTGGTCTTGCTTGGTCGGGTCTTGGGCAGAGGCAGCAGCGCTCGACTTGCTTCCCGAGGAGAAGAAATCAGCGCCAAATACTGACATACGCGCAACATCGGGAAGCTGCGGGCTGACAGATAATCGCTTCCTGTCTATGTCTACAGGTGAATGAATCACAGTTTCTTCCTTGTGACTAGCAGGCTCTGGAGAAGCAATGCTATCCAAAGTGGGAGGATCGTGCAACCCCTGAGATCCTAAACCAAGCTCCTCACGCTTCGCAAGAATGGCATCAAACGTTGACTGCTTCTGGACCTTATCAATCGCTGGGCCATCTTCTCGACCGTATCCTGGCTGGTTCGGTTCATTGACTGGGGGTGTAGAGCGATCATCGGGTCTCGGTGCGATATTCTCTGCGATGGACAACGGCGATCCGCCCAATTTACGTTCATCATCTATATGGCGAAAATCGGGTCGGATTGAAGGCGAACCACGAGCAGCGGAACTTGCGGTGCTCTGCGGGGTAGAGGATCGTACGTCGGGCTGTTGATGATAACTGGGCGCCTTCGAAGATCCAGGGCCTGAAGACAAAGGAGCAGGTGATCCGGTTCGCCCTGAAACCGGCGACGAAACATTATGGAATTGTTCTGGGTGGCCTGGGTTGGGCACATCCGGATGGTTCGTCTGAAGCTGTAGCGAAGGCGCGTTGCTTGAGCTACGAGAACTGGAAGCGACAGCGGCAGCCAATCTTGGGGAGGGTCCAAAGGATTCGGTTCGTTGTCCGACCGGTCGGAGACCTGTTGTTACTCGAGGAACCGGGGGAGGCGGCGGTGGCTCGTCATCCTCGAACTCGTCGGCGCCCCAGTCGTCACCATCGTAATTCTGAGTCGGCGCTTGGACCCATTTTCTCGTCTTGGTACGGTTGACGTTGACCTGATATCCTCCAGGCGTTTGGGGAGATCTAGAAGCGATTGCGGATTAACGTTGAGAATTTTTAGATATCTGCGAAGGATAATTACAATGGAGATTGCGACTGCCCTTGCGCATAAGGGTTATTATATGTCCCATCCATGTCGTGTTTGGGGTTTTCAGCCAAACTCGACTATCGAAGCATTCTTGGACGACCTCGTGATGCTTGATGGAGATCCAGCGGTCGGCGGCGTTGGCAACAGTAGAACTGGGAGGACGTGGCAATAGGATTAGGTGTACCGGGCTATTTATCGGGTTCGGCGATGAAGATCGGCGGCGGAGAAAGTAATGCGTCGGTAGGTGACGGACGGTTGGTCAAGATTGACAAAGAGCTTAAAATACAAGGTCTGCAAGCCAAGAAACACAAACAGCAAAAAGAGCCAATACAATAAGAAGAAGAAGGAAGAATGAGATCAAGGTAGCAGAATAAAGAAGGGTATGGCAAAACAGTAGATGCCAACGACAGCTTGTGAATGATGGCGACAAGATGGCGAGTGATAGAAACAAGGAGGCGGAGTTACGTTTCTGGTGGTGGTCGGGAGCGAGCGCGACTGCGAATAGATGGATGGTTTGGTTGATTGAATGTACCTATGAATGAATGGTGCGGTCAGGCACTTTTGGCCTAGTGCTATGCTGCCCGCCGCTGTGGTAGCCCGTTGGAGATTGGATGACGGAGGTGGATGGGGCACTGTAGGCGTTTGCCGTTCTAAGGACTGGGGGGCTGCGGACAGCTTGAACCACTAATAAGGGGAGACAAGGAGCCGAATACAGAGGAGCATCAAGATACCCCAGTTCGCCCAGCCTCGTTGAAACCCAAGAAATGGAAGATCACTGCGAGGATTACATATTGCGACGGTTAATTTTTTTTTATGGCAGCCGTTATCATACAGGGGACGACTAGTCCACCTAGAGTCCCAGAAGCGACAGAAAAAGAAACCGAAATGGGTCGATCGATGGAATGAAATTATCAGCGGAGTCAACCCAACATTAGAATGATTAGATCTTTATTATTAGGCCCTCACTGGCACGAATTTACGAGATCGTCTGCTAGCTTGGGTGGACTCCTGTCTTCGCGTTAGTGCACGGAATGGACGTTTATAGAGCAAGTAATTAAAATCCACGTCGATAATTATCCCAATTAGCCTTCGAGACATGGATCAAGAACTGACCATTGCTATTTTTGACATATCCTTGCTTTTCATCCGGGGGAAACTGTCTATTGTCTACGCCTCGGGATAGGACAAAGCAGAAAAGAGCTTCAAGTCTACCGAGTCAAGATACCCGTGAGCTCGCGTGTGCTTCTGTGTTAGGCCCCCTCCGATGTTGCACAGAAGGTACTGTAATTATTCTTGGAGCCTTGGAGATTGATCACCTGAATTACGGCCGTCGAAGAGTTTACTGTTTGGTCAAGGGGGGCTTAGTGCCTCGGTCCTCGTCACCTATCCACTAGGATGAACCCTTTTGACACCTCGTGATAACTTTGCCTTTGCGGCACTGGCCTCAACATCACGAACTGCGAACCCATTGCATAACAGGTGGCTTTCTTGGGCCCCTTATATCTCCTCATTGCTGTATCATGTATGCGAGCTTTACACGGCATTCAACGCAAATGTCACACGTAAACACGGATTCCAAGTTGCACATGCACACGTGCGACCATGGATGTGAATAAAAGGACAGCACCGCCTTTAGTAACTTGTTTTTGATAGGACAGGTGACGTCGACTATGACACGTCTTGTAGGATACCAGGATTTCGAGTGCCGACCATAAAAAGGCTGTGAATTGCTGACCTAACTACCAATTCTTCCAGTGGCCGTCTTGAGTCCGTGCAGTGTTCCAAGTCTCTCTCTAGTCGATGGTATGGAAGCTCTCAGTGATTGCGTAGGTACGGAGTAGGTAGCAAAGAATAGCAGAAGGGTACAGTAACAGGTCAGGGGCTCAATGCCGTCATTCCCGCTCACCCTAGGCTCCACTCGATTGCAGAATAAGATGATTGGATTTGATATACGAAGCAAAGTCCAGACTGGAGCTAAAGAAGCTACGGAGATGGAATTTTGATACGAAGAAATGGTAGTAATTGGAGGTAGACTTAGTGGTGGTCTTTACAAGCTGGTAGCAGAGGCTGCTAATGAGAGCATGTAGTCATCGTGTAGATTACCAAATTAAACGATCAAGAACCTTACTATGGGTTTAACGTGTTACTCCATGTACCAAGCATCTCGAACTAAACAAGTACCATTTAGACTGATATAAAATATATCTCTTGCTCGAAAAACTCGTGATCAACTCGCGATACAGAATCTTCAGCCCTCCACGTAGACATGCAGGCCATGATTGTGATAGAAGCTGTCGATTCCTGTAGAAGAAACACTTAACGCATATCCATACTTACCTATAGAAAAAAAGCTTCATTATCTCTCGTGTCAATATACTCTTTGCTGATGCTGCAGCTACAAGATCTTCTCACAGCCCAACTCCAAACTCAGCCACATATAAAGCCACACATCTAATAACAGTCTGGTCAGCATCCATTGATAAAAGAGCCAACGTGGCGGATCACACTCACTGAACTGAACTGACTGTACCGAACTGAACTGAACCGAACCTACCCCTGCCCCTCGACCAGACTGGACCAGTCTGGAACAAGCCAACGACACGACACGTTCCCCAATCATTCAACCAGTCCAATCTCCTTTCAGACGCAGCGACAACCAATTCAAATCAAACCTCATTTGTCTCTGGCATTCTTTGTTGCGCATCTACCGTTTAACTTAGCTCTCTCTAGCCTTTTTCTCCATTTCGTACCACTCCCGAGGCTTCGCGACACTTTAATTGTCTCTTACACATCGCACTCTCAACCAACTCCTTCGATTCGAATCGCCAAAAAAGTACTCCTTTCTAATTATCCTGCTGTTTGTTCGTCCGCGTCACCCCTCGACGTTCCGTTCCGCCTGCGCTGCCAACCGAGACCTGATCCGGACCCTTCCACATCGACGTTCGACATTCGCAACTCGACACATCTCCAGTGAAACAAAAGTCGCATAGGTGGCATATTGATCGCTGCTATCTATCACATCGATTCCCCTGACTCTTTTCGAGACACGAAGCCGCGCTGGCCGCAGTCTGACATCTCGGCTTTTATCCTTAACCCCTCTTAATTTGGCCACCATGGCTGTCGCATCTATCCAAGACCGAACCTCCGAGTTCAAGTCGGTACTCGCCCAGGCACAGCGAAAACAATCCTCCTCAAAAGTCAGCTCTCAGCGCCGGTCTCTATTGACTGATGCGCAAAAAGATGCCGCCAACGGTCATGCTGGAGGTCCCCCAAGACGATCCGAGTTCGCCCGGAAGGCTGCTGAAATTGGACGTGGCATCTCTGCGACTATGGGCAAGTTGGAAAAGCTAGCTCAATGTGAGTACTATCTGTCAATCTCGGCGACGCGAATGCCCGGTGTAGTTCATAGTTCTAACCTAAGAAACAGTGGCGAAGCGACGAACACTTTTCGACGACCGTCCCGTGGAAATCAACGAGCTTACTTTCGTTATCAAGCAAGATCTCTCGTCTCTAAACCAGCAAATTGGAGCTCTTCAAACACTCACCAAGCAACAACACCCCAAGGCCGATCAGGAGGGCGAGCACAACAAGAATGTTGTCTACCTGCTACAAGGCAAGCTCACCGACGTCTCGGTCAACTTCAAGGACGTTCTTGAGGCCAGAACCAAGAACATCCAGGCGTCGCGATCGAGAACAGAGAACTTTATCTCCTCTGTGTCGCAACATACTCAGCCATCGATTCAACAGTCGGCTTCTCCTCTCTACGGAACACCAGCTCGCAACTCGCCCGCGCCAGGAGCTCAAGATACCCTGTCTCTCAACCCCGTTGGCGATCAACAGCTGCTGATGATGGAAGAGGCACAACCCTCCAACACATATATCCAACAACGTGGTGAAGCGATTGAGGCTATCGAGAAGACCATTGGTGAGCTTGGCAGCATTTTTGGACAACTAGCCACCATGGTTTCGGAACAGAGCGAGATGATTCAGCGCATTGACGCCAACACAGAAGATGTGGTCGATAATGTTGAAGGAGCACAGCGAGAACTCCTCAAGTACTGGAACCGAGTATCAAGCAACAGAATGTTGATTGCCAAAATGTTTGGAACGCTAATGATCTTCTTCCTGTAAGTTCAACTTTCGTCTCCAGGACACTACCAAGACTACGGCCAAGGGTGATTAGCAGTTACTAACAAACTGTAGGATCTGGGTTCTTGTTTCGGGCTAAACCTTGACGACGAGACGCAACGCAACACAAGACACGAGAAAAAGAGGCGGGCGCGGAAAACTTGGACCAAGGAAGGGAGTTTACGGCACATGTTTTGTTGTAATGGGGTACTATTCGATAGGTGCACTTCTTTTCCATATGTACGTATGTTTGTACCTTATACTTTGTAGTCGTTTTTTTCTTAGAAGAGATGGGTTGGAACGACGTAGCATAGAGAGAAAGAGTCTTGCAGGAAGACTCTCGTCCATGGCTCATGTTGGGGGTTTCAGGATTAATAATGAATCAGTAGATCCTCAATTGCATAGACTTACATACTGAGTGACAAAGTATCAGGCATTTCCGGGAACATATTGAAACTGTTCGTGATTGGCCTCATGGCTTCTGGCACTTGACTTCAGAAGCAACCCCCACGTTGATGGGAGTGGTATATCACGGCCGGGATATGTGATATAGCCGGTATAGCATCATCAGTACAGGATATATAAAGAGGCAGAGTCGGCCATCGGCCCTTCAACTTTTCCTACTCACTTCTCTAGTATATAATCGAGTGTAGACATTCCTGCCGTTCTCAGAACGGGTAACATCGTCTTTCAACCTTTGGGGGCATCGTCGGGCGGAGTTCTCACCGACCTCTCTACCACTCCAAGTTAGCCTCAACTCACCATCTCGAGCCCTCGGAGCAACCCCACCCCGAGAAATCTCCATCGATCAGCGCTTTTCCGTGTAAACTACACCCCAAACTTGCTCTAAGAGGCAAAAATGCCCCTCGAGCTCGGTGACATGCCTAGCGCTTTGGCGGGGTTCACCCCGCAAAGATGAGCGTGTACATTGGGGGGGCTTGTTTTGTCCAAGAATAAGGTGCTGTAATAGAGTAGCTCGGTAGATCAAGCTACGTAGGCATGAGGGGCATTGGGCCATGTTCATGATGTGGCAGCGGTTTATAACCTGCACGCTTCCCGCTTCTGTACGAGCTTCTTCTCTTGTGTTTTGTTCTAGATCTCTCTCATCTTCTTCACGATACCCTCTCTCGTACAAGATTCACACAATGGCTCCCTCTTCCTTCAAGCTCAACACTGGCCAGGAGATTCCTGCCCTTGGTCTCGGTGCGTTGTTTTCACATGTTTTAGTCCTCAAGAGCTCAATTGACTGATTCTTGTTGCTTGTAGGCACCTGGCAGTCTCCCGCTGGCGAGGTTGAGAAGGCCGTCACATATGCTCTCAAGGATGGTTACAAGCTGATCGACTGCGCCTACTGCTACGGAAACGAAGAGGAGGTTGGTGCTGGCCTCAAGGCTGCTTTCGAGGCTGGTGTCAAGCGTGAGGATATCTTTGTTGTCACCAAGGTCTGGGCTACTTACAACACCCGCCCTGAGCTTGGTCTCGACAAGAGCTTGAAGGCTCTTGGTCTTGACTATGTTGACCTCTTCCTTGTGGTAAGTTACTACTCGAAGTATCTCTTGAATTTGTATGCTAAGCCGTTATAGCACTGGCCTCTTCTCCTCAACCCCGAGGGTAACGACGACAAGTTCCCCAAGAAGGCTGATGGTTCCCGAGATGTCATCCGAGACTACAACCACGTCGATGGCTGGAAGCTCATGGAGAAGCTCCCCGCTACTGGCAAGACCCGTGGCGTCGGTGTCTGCAACGTATGTTCATCACCTTAAGTCCACCAATCTCAGCTAACACCCGGTATAGTACAGCAAGAAGTACCTTGAGGAGCTTCTGCCTCATGCCACTATCATCCCAGCCGTCAACCAGATCGAGAACCACCCCAGCCTCCCTCAGCAGGAGATTGTCGACTTCTGCAAGGAGAAGGGCATTCACATTGAGGCCTACAGTCCCTTTGGCAGCACCGGTGGCCCCGTCATGACTGCCGAGCCTGTTGTCAAGATTGCGGAGAAGAAGGGTGTTTCTGCCTCCACTGTCCTGCTCAGCTACCACGGCAAGTCTCGTGAACCTGGTGGTGAAAAGTATGTTGCTAACAGTCTTCTAGTTGCCCGTGGAAGCACCGTCCTCGCCAAGTCAGTCACCCCCGAACGCATCACCGCCAACAAGACCATTGTCGACCTCGACGATGAGGATATGAAGGCTCTGAACGACTACTCCGAGGACCTTGTCAAGAAGGGTGAAGTCAAGCGATATGTCTACCCTCCCTTCGGCATCGACTTCGGTTTCCCCGACAAGTCATGAATCAAAGGTCGGCTATAGTTACATGATATTGGGAATAAAGATGAGATATGATGAAAAGCGGCATTGAATGATATTGCATCTATAATAGATCAGAAGCTCAACTTAGCTTCATGAATAGAAAAAGTTAAACTCATGAATATTCGACGTTGCTCAATGTGCTAGTGATTGCATCGAAGTATCGTAGCCATGATGCTTCAAGGACCAGGTCATACGAACACATGTGAGATGCTCCTAGCATAGACTACGATGGTATCTGCGATGCCACATCTGCGAGTCTTGACTGAAAATTCTGGTATGTCAAGTGATGCATGTCTAAAAACCGATTAATTCGTTTGCATCTTGGTGCAAGACTTTGTGGTTGTTGTGTATACAGCTCTCCCAACACCGTCGTCCATGGGTACGTTAACTCATCAGTCAGACATGTCACGTACAGTAGCGAGAAGGATCAAGATGCAGTATTAACTTATTCCAAGATCTCATGATTTTGCCAGAAACTAGGTATCTATAATCCTCAAGACCCCATACAACACGCCTTTTACCCCATTCGTAAACCCTCACTGCCAACTCCCTCAATTGCTATTAATTTACAACCGACCTTTTAGTCATTTTTCGTTAAAGTCCACTACGACCTTGATAACAAGGTTGCCTTGCTCATCCCTCACCTTACCAGCCATCTTGAAAGCCTCCTCAATGTTCTCCATGCCGTTGTATCTTTGAGTGACCAGACGGCTCACGTCAGGCATGTTGGCAGGAGGGTTGGCCAATAGCTCAATAATTTCCTTGTATGTGTTGGCGTAACGGAAGACACCCACGATGTCGACTTCGCGAAGAGCAGCAGCCGACATGGGGATGGTGAGGACGGGAGTTCCCATGCCAATGATCATAACCTTGCCTCCAGGCTTGGTAGCGTAGATAGCTGTTTGCACACATGTCTCGACACCAGTGCACTCGTACACAGCTGTAACCTCACCGACAGCCTCTCCGTTGACCTGAGTCTCCTTCACCATAGCAGCGACCTTCTGGGCAAAGGCGAGCTTGTCCTCGATAGTTTGTGGGCGCTCCATGGGGACAACTACTGAAGCATCGGCGAAGCCGTTGTTGATGGCAAAGTCAAGACGGTCCTTGAGGATATCGGCAATGATGACGGTCTTTGCTTGGTCGGCCTTTGCGACAGCGGCTGCGAGAAGACCGACGGCACCGGCGCCGAGAACGAGGACCGTTGAGCCCTTGGGGAGAGCGGCGCGATCACGGGCGTGCATTGCGACTGAGAGAGGCTCAACGAGAGCACCGAGATCGAGAGTGACATGTTCAGGCATTCTGAGCAAAAGTCAGTACATTTCTCACTTCACAAAGTTTGGATTGTCTTACTTGTGGCACCACTTAGCAGGGTGGTTAATTCTCTCCTGCAGAGTTCCCTGCGCATGAGGATTGGCCTTTGCTGAGCTGCGGAACTTCATTCCACGGCAAATGTTGTAACGGCCCTCACCGCAGAGCTCACAGGCCTCACAAGGAAGACCAACCTCGAGAGCGACATGGTCGCCAGGCTTGAGATGTGTAACTTCTGAGCCGACGGCTACGACTGTGCCCGCGGACTCATGGCCGAGGGTAAGAGGTTCGCGAACGATGATGTCGCCGTTGCGGAAGTGGTTGTAGTAGTGAAGATCGGAGCCGCAGAGGCCGGTTGACTTGACGGCGACTTGGACTTCGTTGCTTGAGGGTGCGGGGAGTTCACGTTCCTCCTGTCAATTAAGTCAGTCTATGATCTTGAATGCAATTGAGTAATGGTGCTTACCAGACGGAGATCCTTCTCGCCATGGAGGACGGAGGCCTTGACACGCTCAGTTGCCATGATGAAGGTATGAGAGAGACAAAAGTGGTGATATGAAGAAGAGAATGACTAAAGAAGAGCAATTGAGTAGTTGATGAACTATTGCGACAGAAATATGCAGGAAATGGCCAATGTTACAGATGCAAAAGTTATTGGAAGATCATGGATCACGACGAGAGCGAGAGGTGGGTTAGTAAAGGGCGAAACCAAACAAGGACATCCAAGCCAGGGCCGATGTCGACCAAATATCGGATTGGACAGAAGCTACAGACTACAATTCCTAATTGATTCTCAAACGAGCATCGCGGAGAGAGGGCCGAGATGGCCTTGACCTCGGAAAAGGCGCCCCACGATAGTATTGAAATGCCCCGCGGCGAGACGTCCCATGACGTGCAATGCCCCCATGACAGCAAAAAAAAAGAAGAGAGAATCTTTATCCGCAGTGGCAGAGCCAGTGCTAGCGTGCCCCCACTGCCCTGTATCCCGCGGGGTGAAGCGCTAAAGATTGAGCCCTTGGGTTTAGGACGATCCACTCCATGTTTTGGAGATGTTGGAGAAGTCCAGGGAGGAAATGTTGGCCGACTCATGAGCTGGATGAGAGGAGGAGATCAGCTTTGTCTCTCATATGAGATGTTTTGTCTTTGAACAATCGGCAAACATCTGTAATGCGTATATGCTAGGCCTGTACTGTAGAGAGCTACATGCTAGCTACCAGTCTGTACATATCTCATCATACAGAATAGCATCACCCCTCTCTGCGGGGATCCAAAGCTCGTCTTCGGCCTTCTCTCCGACCTTCACAACCCGGTTGAATGTAAACCTACAGAGTAAACCTGCATTACGAACAATTAATCAATTGGCCAGTTCTAGTCCGGTCCAATTCACCTAATTAGAACCAATCCGGCTCCTCCTAAGTCGGAGCTCAGAAGCTTACCCCTCGGTCATTAATAGCGTAGTACCCATCATCTCATGGTGGAACTGAACTGCCCCTCGTCAAATAAAACAAAAAACATCACCAATTACTCACGACGTCAACAACTAATATCTCAAAATGTCTGCTTCTTTCTTCTCCCTTGAGGGCCAGACCGCTCTCGTAACAGGTGGTACGCGCGGTATCGGCCAGGCCGTAGCAATTGGTCTCGCTGAAGCTGGTGCCGATATTATTCTTGTTCAGGTACGGAACGTCTCATGATGAGGCCAGAACTCGAGACTAACTGGACGTACAGCGAGATACTACATCGCAATCGACAAAGGAGTCCATCGAGAAGCTTGGCCGAAAGGCTTTCATCTACACTGCCGATCTATCGTCGCAAGAATCTGTCGCTGGACTTGTGCCTAAGGTGCTAGCCGATGGACATCAGATTCGCATTTTGGTGAATTGCGCTGGTATCCAGCGACGACATCCTTGTGAAGTCTTCCCTGACAGCGACTTCAACGAGGTATGAAAGACCAATTGATTCCTGTCTCACAACACACCTAACGAGCTACAGGTCATCCAAGTAAACCTCAACTCCGTCTTCACCCTCTGCCGCGACGTTGGCGCCCACATGCTCAACCTCGAACCCTCTCCCATCACCGGTCGTCGCGGCAGCATCATCAACTTCGCCTCCCTCCTCACCTTCCAGGGAGGTTTCACTGTCCCCGCCTACGCCGCCTCCAAGGGTGCAGTAGGCCAAGTCACCAAGAGTTTCGCCAACGAATGGACCTCAAGGGGCATCACTGTGAACGCCATTGCTCCCGGTTACATCGCTACCGACATGAACGAGGCACTTCTCGCCAACCCAGAGCGTCTTGCTTCTATTACTTCCAGAATTCCCGCTGGTAACTGGGGTTCACCGGATGATTTCAAGGGTACAGCTGTGTACCTGGCGAGTAAGGCCAGTGGATATGTAAGTGGGCATGTGTTGGTTGTTGATGGTGGTTGGATGGGCCGATAAAGGATTCGCTCGAAGGCGGTCTCTAGAGCAAGCTTGAAAAATAGATCATAATATAATATCTTTGGCGTTTTGCAAAGTCGGAGTGGCGAGTGATTAGCGACGGGCGCGAACAAGTCTTCGTCTGGCCAAACGAAGGGAACCGCGTGGGTCGATGAAAGTTGTGACTCGTTTTGTGAGGTGTCTAGCGATATGGAAAGCATCAGGATGCTTGGATCGAACACTATAGTAACCAACTTAACAAGGATTCTACAGTGGCAGTTATCACTTACAGCAATTGCAAGGCCGCAATTCGGACTTTGATGAAGGAGTGGTTCAGCTCGTCCGACATCTTGATATGGCTTGAGGATTTCGACGAAAAGACTTTAGAGAACTGGGCGAGACTGAAGATGTTGGGCTGGGTGATTGTAGCTAACAATGTGACATGCAAGCAGGTTTTATGCGCAAACCTTTCGGTCATTTGCATGTGCTTCGAATCGGAAGCCGAATATGGAACCTCACTCAGCTGATGATTCTTGTCATACAGCAGCTTACATGGATTTCCTCCGAATGTCTCGGGGTACCCGCAAGATCTCACTCGTTCCGTCGCTCGGCAAATGTACAAGCAGTGCAAGAAATGTCGTCTATATTCTCCCGTCCATATCTACCTCTAAGCCCGCCCAATATCGTATCCTCTTTAGATTTTGCTTCCTGCGCCATGCGAAACCGCATCAGCCTCTGTGCAACGCACACAAACGATAACAAAGGGAAACATGCGGATGCGGATGCGCCACGCATACACATACGCATTTCATAATATCGTAGAATTGCTTAATGAAATCACTGGGATTTACCCTTTGAGCCCTCATAGTAATGGGCCATCTGGAGGCCTGCTCTTCGGAAGCCACACTTGACGTAGAAACCCTCGTTGGCTTCGCTGCAGTCGAGGATGCTCTTGTAGCAGCCGACTTGCTCGGCGATGTGGTCGAGGGCTTGGATGATTCGGAGACCGAGCTTCTTGCCTTGCTGGTCCTTTGCGACGGCGATATCTTCGATGTGGCCTACGGCGCCCAGGCTGTGAATGCTACGGATTGTTAGTAGTTGTCTAGCAGACGGCTAGGACCATTGACTTACAACTTGCGCTCAGTGATCAAGGCCCCAGTTCCGACAACAGGCTTGTCGCCTCGCGAAGTGTCCTCAATGATGATAATGTAGTAACTGCCAGCAGCGAGCATGTCATCGTACTGCTTGGCGAAGTCGGCTTCGGTGATGTCGCCAACGGTGGTCAAGACACGCAGACAGTCGAGGAAACCGCTGTTGAAGTCTGACTTGCGCAGAGCGCGCAGAGTATAACCCTCGGGGAGAGCGGCGCTGACCTCTGAGGAGAGGAGATTGGCGCTGAACATGCCGTCTTGAGCCATGGCGGTGTCGGTGTCGATTTGGCGGGGGATTGTTGTGTTTGGCGGGGTGTTTATCGAGGGGCACGGGGAGATGTCTCAACAAAAAGACTTTGAGAGATGTTCAAACAGAGCAATTGAAGACAGAGATACTCAGAAGAATACGTAAGATGTTGAGATATTATCGATGTAAGATCTGGGAGTAGATTCGTCGTTTTTCCGTTTCAGAGCAGAATGGGCGGAGTCTTAAGCTGAGCTTGGCTTGTCCTTACCGTACCTTTTTGTGTTTAGTGCCCCCCACTGGTTCTATATCGGGGACGATTTACCATCATCGCTCAGGGGTCGGCGAGTCACAGCCTCAAGGCGATCCCGACACTTAAAAAGGAGAGCAAGGCCCAAGTCCAAGGAACAAAAAGAGTGGTTCCGCCCGGGATCGAACCGGGGACCTTCTCGGTGTTAACGAGATGCCATAACCAACTAGACCACGGAACCGAGGTATTTGATTGGATGAGAGTGAGGGAGTCAGTTGGGGACCAAGATTGTGATGTTGTGCGATGAAGCTGTTGCGAAGTCATTCCGTGGTTCACTTACACGGATGAATGGAAAGTTTCTGTCTTACCTATCAGCCGGGTAGAAACGTTGAGCAAACTCTCGTGGTGAGTTTATTGCATAAATTCAAGTAAAGCCATCCAAATTGCTATTATAGGCATGCTGTGGTTTGTTATGCGATACAGGATACAGGCGACAATAAGATTAGGAACACCAACGGTCGAGTCGCGACAGATGGTCCCTTCTATTTACCTGCGTCAAATCACATGCTTGGAACATGACATGAATAGATTGGGGGACTCTGCTCTAGTAGTCATTAAAAGATAAGTTACACGTTGGATCCGTGTCTCAAAAGTTCCGTTGTTTTGTTTCTTACCGCCAAGTATTCGCGTCTCAAGTCCCAATCGGTTGTTTACTAGAGACATTCGGTAATCTTGCTATCCTTTGAGGCATGAAGGGTCGTGTCAAGAGATTGAATGTTTAAGACAATCAAGATTGGATGGCTTCTAGACCCTGATAATCGGTATCGGAAGCCTCCCAACTTCGGAATATTTCTCGACACTATTATGATAGCGCTGTAACATCGAGGTCTGATCAGGTACAAAACTCAATTTATAAAGCGAATTACAACAGCGCGATTAGACACTAACAACTCACTATGCACATGCTCACTAAAAGAACAGGGATTTAAATTGATGAGTTGTCAAGCATCAAGTCGGGTCTTGGTCTTGGCAGGTACAGGCTCCGTTATCATGCAATCACATGCAAATCTGTTTCACATCTCGTCATCTCTTGATGTGTCTCTTGTGTCTCTGTCTTATTCCCTGTCGTCCAACCACATTCACAAGCGACATGCCATTCGTTCTTTGTCACGTTCTTATTTACATTCCGACCATGTAATTGGTGTTATTCGTTTGTAGCCACCCTTCAGTGTTCAACGTGTTGGGGTTCACGACGCTAAAGTTGAACTACTCAAACTTGGCTCAAACCTCGTCTCGAAATACGCCAGAAACACTCAGACCTCTCTTCGTTTCTATTCCAAGAACGAGCATTCAAAGTATATGCTAGTCTCGTTGAACTACAACTATCCCGTTATATCCAGCCTTCTTTCGCCCCTCGGCCCCATCACGATCGGGCTTCAATGACAACCACTTCGCCATGG